TAAAGCAACTTACGTTTCCATTTATTCCATTGCTAAAAATTTACATTTCATACAAATTTTGAAAACGAAAAAGGAATATTTTTTCCTTCTTCCTGAAAAGTCGGCTAACACTATTTTGCAAATTAGCTCTCACTGTACTGTTACAGCCTTTCAGTGCACCTTCATTTAACTACCTTAATTTACTAAATCGAATTTCAAAACGATCCATCCAAAACAAATTTTCTCATTCATTGTTAAAAATTTCCAGTCTACCGTACACAATTACACATTAAAATCTCCACAATAAAAGGGTCAAGAGTAACCTTCTCAGTTTCTGATCTCCTCGATTCGATACACAAAAAAGTACCACACATAACAGACAAAAAAAAAAAAAATAAAAAAATACCAGGAAGTGAAACGAAAGAAAGGAGACAAAAGCAGGAAGGCCGTTCTGGTGATTTTGAACGAAACTGTTGCGTGGTTCGAACGGAATCACGGCCTCGGCGTAATTTCGACCCACGCTATACCCGGTCGCGCATACGTAATTCACGCGTTTTCATTGAAAAAGTGTCGTCAGCCGTTATGTTAATACAAGTGGCCGGGGCCGTTACACGCTGCCGTATGTCACTGACCACCTCCGCCAGTGACCCCTTCCGTTGAATAATAGACGCTCCGTCGTTCGTTCCACGGCGACGAGGGTGTGCGTATTCGGGAAGGAACTCGACGTGGAGATTCGTACGTTCACCGCCATTCTAGCAGACACTCGCGGATATACGAGGTATTACGAGCCAGGACGATATTAAATTATAATTCACGGCACGCTCTGCCGAGTTACCTCATACTTTCCTCCACTATTTATAGGCTAACGCTCGGGCTGTGTTCCTATTCGCGACCGAGTGACGGCTACGAACCGCCCTCGAAACTGATCAACCAGAAATTCCATTTTGTTTTTATCTTTGTATCTAACATTTTTGTCAACATAATTTAACATTTCCTGAAATGAACTGTGGAAAAGGGGCGTTGAGAGAATTTTTGTGTGAATAAAGTCGAAACTGATCCACGAGAAATTCAATTCTTCTTTTAATCTTTGTTTTATCGTGATTTTCTTAGCTTAAATTTGCAATTTAACATCTCTTGAAATTAACTATGGAAATTAGGCGTTGAGAGAATTTTTATGCGTATAAATAAATTTACAATTTGGTCCTTTCAAGAATTTTTCGTTTTTTCTGCACTTCCTTTCTCGGCAATGATACTTTCTTTCAAATTTTCTGTCAAGATTGCAAGTTACAAGGGTAGAAAATTATAATCTTCTCTATAAAAATAAGTGATTCTTATTAACTAATTGTAAATGCATCTATTAGTACAATTTATGTTATTTTTGTTTTAAAGAGTAATTGGAACGTCGCAAATTTCAATTACTTATGTAAATTTAAAAGGACTAGAAATATGAATTCATTATTCCATCATAACTGATAAATTTCCTTATAAAGTAGCATCAGATTTTGATTCCCATCGTTTTCCCTAAATATCTATTTCAAATAGTCCCTAAAACTGCACGAGAAGATTATTGCACGGTTCTGCTTATTCTTATCAAGCGCGGTTCAAGTCGTACGCTTCTCTGCCGCGCAACGCATGGTTTCATTGTTAAACCACCACTACCACCTACAAACCATCTGTTACTTTCTTTCTGTGGGCCTCGGTTAAATCACCACTGTGCCTACTACAACCTGATTACATATGTACACACTCGGCAGCGGGTAAATAAGCAAACAAATGTGCCTCCCCCTTATGTATTGCGGCCAGATCACGCGGAGAAAATCTCGGGAATGCTGTAAGCGATGTCTTAGATCGGCATATCGAGTAGCTTTTTATTCTTCAAGCTGTGCAACACTCTGACACGTCGCGCGTCGTTCTAATCTCCGATTTATTTATTGTTTAGGATCATGTTCAATAGTTAGATCATTTCTCAGGATCCGAGTTTTTTGGGTTGCTCTGTATATCGAAGTGTAACTGCTGTTTTAAATTTTCAAGAAACTACCTTGTTAAAAGTAAAAATTGTCAAATTTTATCACCCTATTAAATTTGAAAGAAATCACCTCTGTATTAAAATTAAAAATTAAACCAGTCACAGGACTTCAACTAATACCATGAATAACAAATAAAAATAATTAAAATTTGAAAGAAATCACCTCCTTATCAAAATTAAAAATTAATCCAGTTAAAGGACATTAGCCACTAACTAAAATTTCAAAATGTTTAAAATTTTGAATTTCTCTGCATTTTAAAGTCCTGCAACTGGTTAAATTTTCAATTTTAACAAGGAGCTGACCCCTTTAAATTTTAATAAATAATTCCACGAAATTGTTCGACAATGTGTTTCTGCAAATAAAAGAGTAGACAAAGTTTTGGGAAAGGTAGATAATAACGGTATAAAATCGCGCATCCTTCAAAATTCTAGCGTTAAGATGACAAAAGAAGGGATTACGAATAAATCAGCGATATCTAATGACGTGGAATAATAGTTAGCATGAAATAAACTGGTTCCATTGTTAAGAGTATCCGGACCTTCCAGCTGCGTGCCATACTTAACAAAAATATTCCAACGTTCCGGTTGGTAGCTTTATCGCAGACCGAACGATGCGTTGACACTGATATGCCCAATAAAGTCGTCACCTATTTAAAATAGCCGCACTCATGTCACGGTTCGTTAACCGCCAACTATGATTCTTCATTGATCAAACGTCAATTGTCGTGTATCACTACCAGGAACTAACTGTAATGCCAACGAAACGTTAGAATGTTACACAGAACGTACATTCTACAATACCAACGCTCAGAAAGCTTCGCAAATTTTTACTTGTACTCTGAATTTCTTACTCTGAAAAATATCTATTTTATTTATATGAAAAATTCTATGAAAAGAAACTTAGAAACTCAAGATTGAATGGAAGAATTTCCTATAAATGAAATTTCATTTGTTTGGTACAAAATTTATTTTTTAATTCGCATAATTGGAAGAGGAACAGCTGGTCAATGAAACTCATTATTTTCCTGCAGGATTTTCCTGCATTATTTTATCTTCCTAAACACTTTTCACTTTTTTTTTCTTATAATTGAAATAATTTAAGTACTATAAATGCACTTTTCTGTTAAACACCTGCAATTACCATTCCCTGCTTTTCAGCTCTCAGAGAAAATGAATTCTTATACAATGATTAAGTCACTCAGGGCAATCTTTTTACTCCTATCAATATAATTCAAGTTTAAGTTTCTCTGGTCTTGTAAAAGACCTTTGCAATGTGGTAAATTTATTTTGAAGTAGATCAGATTCTTTACAAGATTTATCTGATCCTTTAGAAATGATCTAGAGAAACTTTCATGAACAAAAAAGATTTAAAAGAATATTTAAATCTTATCCAGATGTGGTCCCACATAAAAGTGTAATCCGTAAATAAAACAAGACTTTATCCCATGTTTACAATAACACTAACAGTAATATAAAAAAGTAAATAAAAAAGAATATTTAAATTCCATCCAGATCGTTTCCTGTGAAAGTGTAATGCCCAATATAAACAACCTCAATCATCTTAGAAACACAGAAAATCTGATAAACTCGTAAAAAAAAAATATTAAAAATTTCCATCGATCAAAGAGACCGAAAGTGTTACGAACTCGCTATACCACGCCACGCTGTACAAAAATTCTACTCTCCATGCATATTAACGAGACACTAAACGATAACACTAAAAAACAAATAAAGAAGAATGTTCAAAATCCGGTCGAAATCGTCTCCGATAAAAGTGTAATCCCTGTATCGAAGCAGCTCCATATAACGATCGTGGAAGGGCAAGGTACGATTCCAAAGTGTATCCGGCAGTAGCAGGAAAAATGTGATAAACTCGTCGGAAAGAAACGAGATGGAAATGTAAACGTTTCTATCGATCAAAGAGGGCCGCTTATTAATCGGCCACTTTCCTAGCCGCGATCTTGCGCAAGCAGCCCGCAAATGCCTTTAATCCGAGATCGAATTCCCGATAGGATTCGCGCGCTCGATCGATCATCGCCGTCGACGTGATCGATATATCGACACTACGCGGGGCCCCTGGGTTCGGTGAATTCTATGGCAGTTACCGGTATCTCGCGGTCCATTAAGCGCCACTGGTGCACCGAACTTTAATGAATTTCTGGCCGTGCACGGATACCGGCTCTCGCTTTTTCCCTCGCATCGCGTTTCGACGGTTCTCCTTGACTTGATTTATCGGCCGGAGGGAAAAGTTCCAGCTGTCTTGAATGCCGACAGACGGGTTCGAAAATGGTACCAGGCCTCATTCAACCTCCGTCTCCTGTTGTACCTATTATTTGCAGATTGCACGGATAGCGAAACGTTTTGTATCGATAGTGGTGGAATCTGGTTGGGGAAGTTTAAGTATAGATTGTGTATGTATGTATATGCTCTTGTTTAGAGGTATTAGGACACGTATTACGCTCGTAACTGAAAGTCGAAATTAGATTTCTTCGATGAAGGTGATCAGAAGGAAGCATTGCGAAGTGATAATTATTGAGTTTGACGAAATTTTGGTGTAGAGTGGGCCTCAAGAATTTTGGTCCTCTGTGAAGGGGTGAAAATCGCCCTTAAAAGTTGGAGGTGGGACCTCTGTCAATAGTTCAATATCTCGAGACCTATTCGAGAATTTAGTATTTTCCAACAACTTGGAAAATAATAAATAATTTTGCATTTTTCATATTTTGTCGTTCTCCACGTAATTAAAAATTAACCTATCGTAACTTTTGTACGTGTAATAAATTCCTGTCCCATGTTCAATAATTTCCTAGATTTTTATTGTCAAGTATCTGTGACAAAACAATTTCAGTTTCTAACGTAACCCTCCACTCCCATTTAATTAAAAAAAAAAAAATAACCGAGTCGTCTTTATTTTTCACATTAGATGCAAAGTTTCAGCGCAGCCGTCCAGTACTTTGCAAAAATTAAAAAAAAAAAAAAATGATTCCAACGTACTTACCAGGATATCCCTCTGGAATCACAATCTCAGGCCCAACTTTCACATCGTGGCGGTAACGATGCATCAACAATGTAGCCGTCACTCTCAGCGATCGCTGCTGTTGTTTGTACAACAATATCGGTCTACCGCCGGCACCTTCCACCCTCACCACCCTGGGCAACGAAAATCTGTCCAGGAACTCGCGCAGCGGCATGAATCCGGCCCCGGAATTCGCAGCTTCCGCGGTAGCCTCCCGAGAGCTGGGCAACGAGTCGTCGCCTGTCCCGGTGGCTTCACCACTCGACAAAGTCGAAAATTCACCACTCGACGACATCGTCACACGCGGACCGATTTTCACGGTTTCATAAACACTGGGTACGCGAGTGTCGCATACAAACCGCGGGGATATGGCGGTTTCGCCACGGCAACGTGTTTCGTCCTGGAAAGAAAACAAAAAGGATATTGGCAATTTTTCTGTGGTGCGATATTTTGATTAAATGTGCAGTTTTAACCATTTCAGACTGATGGGATAGTACGCCCACAAGTTAACTTTATAGACTGCAGAGTGTAGAGCTCAGGAGTTTGGCTCTGATTGGGTCATATCCCCATAAGCCCACTTTCTCTAACACAGTCATAAAAATAGGGCACATGTATTGTCATTATTTAAAATTGCGTGACGTGAGGTGGCAATATTAGGCGGGATAGCAATCTTGCCCGTGTGCTGCCCTAGGGGCAAACTCCTGAGCTAGGCACAGTACAACTGTTTATCTGTAATCTTGTGTTTTCAGTGTATATTATACTTCAGCTGAGATTCGTTTTTGATCTTTTTTCTTTGCAAATATAATATTGCCTGCTGTTTTTTGTGGTACCTTTAAACTGGTAGGCATGGGTCATTTATGTCTGATACAACTTTCAATGGGTAAAAGTATATAGAAAAATTTGTAAAGCTTCTTTAAACATTGTAAAGAAGATTCCGCTACCCAAGAATTTTTAAAGAGGGGAATGAAAGTCCATTATTAATTAGTTACTTCCAAAGGCATTGCCTTAAATGCTCAGACAAAATTGACCCACATCCTTGAATGAGAAAATTCTTTAAGTACTGCTTTTATAGTGTCTTCATTTCAGAATAATTCATTCGTCAAAGGATTGTCTTTAATAAATTTTCTTAAGCCCTATCTAACCTTCCTCTTATCTCACTTCCAACGAAAAGTGACCAATCTCGAATTCTGCACGCCAAAATTCAAATGTCCTAACATTCACGCAACCCTCTTCAAATGCTAAATTTCTATTTCCTCCAGTTTCTACCGCAACTTTCCCAAGTTCAAACTTATTCAAATTTTCCAAATTTATTTACTATTCGGTACACATGTACCACAGGAAACTCCTTCTCGACTACTGTGCGCAAAAATCGACGATGGAACAAATCCACTTGTGGTATCAACCCCTGCCAATTTGGTCTGTCGAAAAAAACGACGTTTCATTAGCACCCAGGCTAATATGATCCAGACAATATCAGCGAGACAGGGGAAAAAGCGTGGAAGAGTTCATTCTCCCGAAGGAATTCGTTATTTCGCGAAGCGTGGCAGCCTTGACAGTGATTCGCCGGCGGCGAAGTGTGCCTTGGCTAACGAGTGATTATGCTCTCCGGGCCGGCTTGACGATGATGGTGATGATGATGAATTTATGACGATGATTATCTCTGGTGGCGTACCGCTGTGTCGCCACCGGTGTTTGTCTTTCAGACGAGGAGACAGTGGCGTGAAAAAAACGGTCAAGGAATGATGGAATGAGTCTGGTTCGCGGTCGGTTAAGGATTGTTCTTGCGAGTGGCGTTGACACGCGACGAACAACGCTGACAAATTAGCCCTAATTGATTGGAACGGAGCTGAATTGATCGTGAGAGTTTTGAAAGCAGAGCTACGGATCACTGTGATATCTCCTCGAACTGGGTTTCTAGGGAATCTTGCTGAAAAGATTCTTTCTTCTTTTTTTTTTTTGTCTCTTTTGTTGTCTGCGAGTGAGTTGATATTTGTATTGGTAGATCTTCTTGTGAGATGAATTAATAGGTTCTCCTGAAGAGAATTTAGGGTTGGGAATTCATTTCTTGAGCAATTTGCAATCAATAGCATAGAAGTATTTTTGATAACATTTTTTTAAAAAAGATTGAGAATATAGAATTGTTTTCTAGAAGCTCTTAGGGGAAGATCTAGAAATTAGAATCCTCTTATGGAAGCTCCCTAAGAGGAACAGTAATTTTAGAATCTTTTTCTAGGACCCTTATAAAGAAAATCTAGATTCTAAAATTTTTTCAGTGAAAATACTTTTGACAATGTTAGAATCTTTTTCAAATGGATGGAGAATTTAGAGCTGCCTTCTGGAAGCCATTAGAGGAAGATCTAGAAATTAGAATCCCCTTATGGAAGCTTCCTAGGAGGAACAGTAATTTTAGAATCTTTTTCTAGGACCCTTATAAAGAAAATCTAGATTCTAAAATTTTTTCAGTGAAAATACTTTTGACAATGTTAGAATCTTTTTCAAATGGATGGAGAATTTAGAGCTGCCTTCTGGAAGCCATTAGAGGAAGATCTAGAAATTAGAATCCCCTTATGGAAGCTTCCTAGGAGGAACAGTAATTTTAGAATCTTTTTCTAGGACCCTTATAAAGAAAATCTAGATTCTAAAATTTTTTCAGTGAAAATACTTTTGACAATGTTAGAATCTTTTTCAAATGGATGGAGAATTTAGAGCTGCCTTCTGGAAGCCATTAGAGGAAGATCTAGAAATTAGAATCCTCCCTAAGAGGAATAATAATTTTATAATCCTTTTCTAGGACTCTCATAAAAGAAATGTTAGAATCTCTTCAATTTTCTAGGATTTTACAACGCATACTTTGACCATATAAATGTTCCACCTTCCATATTGAGAATTTCAATTTCTTCAATCGCTAATTACCTATCATTGTAGTCTAAAATTCTTAAAAATTCTAGGTTAATTTCTGATCTAGTTCATGCTTGAAGAATCTACTTATAAAATCGGATCGAGGATACGTTAACAATAAGTACTTTTTCTCCGGTGAATAATGGAGCGTATTTACATAATTGCGTACTCGGTTCACCGTTACTGATTACCAAAGCGTTAATTTAAATGGGAGATCTCCTAGCAGTCGTCGATTTCTTGCTCCATATGGCATTTCATTGACGCGTTTGTGGAACTGGAATAATATGAAAATAACGACGAGCACTTTCATCGCCCAGAGGATGATTGATTGCACGAACTTTGCAGTTCGAGATGATCAAATTACTCAGTGAATGAAATGCTGGGGTTTCAATAGCTGGTCTCTACTACATATGACAATAATTTATAGATGTGTCTGTTGATGTTGCAACAGTGATGAAATTTAAATTACTAATTTCATCGGGGAGAGCAAGAGTAATTGCAACGAATTTTGCAACTTCATTGTTTTGTCCAATGAAAAAAATTATATAGCAGAGAGATAGATACAGAAGTTAGGATAGAGAGTATAGTGAGTGGAAGAATCTTGCAAAGGATGAGATTGGCTCAGAAGATTGAAAAAGAAATGGAAGGAGAAAATGGAAAGAAATGCATTAAGGTAATAAGTAGACTGCTGAATTTTATGCAAATTCATATTTTCATGAATATAATTTAAAAAATAGAAACTAAATAAGTAACTGCTTCATTCGCTGAATATTATAACGAGTACTATATTTCTTCCATATTTTTTTATATTCTGTGTATTTCTCTGTCTCCAAATTTTCCATAAAAATGCATAAGAATCTGTGGTCCAGCAATAAGAAATAAACAGAAAACAGTAGATCTATGAGTGAAATAGTAATAACACAAGTAATTTGAGTGAAATTAAGTAAGGAGAACAAGAGAAAAAGTTGAGCTACTAAAATCTTATTATCTATGCAGGAATATTATTATTATTAGGTTGGCAACTAAATCCACTAACTTATGTTCTGTAACTTCTGTTTTTATTTTTACTCATCTGTATATCATTCAAGAGTTCTTAATTTTATAATTATTTTCATACCTAAATTTCTCTCTCAATTCTGTTGAAAAAAATACTGAAGCCGTGAAACTTAATTACCAACCTAATCCTTGAAAACTGAACTTGACCGCAATTCACAGTAGTTAAAGCTCAGACGATGTCCGCCGGTTGTAATTATAAGGTAACGTTAACAAAAACCTGACGACAATTGCAATTTCTTTTGGGTCAGAAAAAACGTATAAATTACTCCATCTAGTTAGTACTCGTACATGACAAATGAGATTTTTGCGTTTGGCGACTCGATAATTTGCCACGTCAGTTTAAATCATGCTGTTATAAATCAACCCTAGAGTTTCTTCTTACTTGTTGTTTGATGCTCGTCGCGCAATATTTTACAGCCGACTTGACGCGAGTTCGAGTTAAGGAAAGATGCCTTTCTAATCAGTTACGAATCAAGAGCGAACGATTGAAACAGGTAAATTTCGTTTTGAAAAATTTCTATTTGCATAAAATTAGTATATAAATGTGTTGTTATTAATATAAACTTTTACTACCTGGTCTGTTATTTGAGTTAAATTTAATTGTCATTTTTAAGTAACTTTCTTTCCTAACAAAATAATAGTCTTGATTAATTGGAATAATATGTTGTTTCAAATTATTTAATAATTACGTGAGTGATTATAGTTAAAAATGTTTTTGTACATATTAATGTAAAAATGTATTTGATGTGTTTGCATTTGATTTTGTTAGAGGGTATTTTTATAGTTTCAATTTATTCCTAGTGAAAATGTATTAAAACTATTCCAATTTAATTTATCTAATTTTAATTACAGGGGGTAAACTCTGGTACAAGAAAGTAATTAACAGAAGGAGTTTAGAAAACAAACAGGTAGTTTAAATATACAAAAGTATACACAGAAAAAGGAAAATATAAAAAAATGATAGTTTAGAATGTTTAAAGCCAGGAAAAGAAGTGGAAAAATTTTTTCATAAACCTACAATCAACTAAGAAACCAAAGAAATTAACTCCATCCAATTAAATTTACTACATTTTTTTTTATTTACGAAGAATTAAGCACCAAGCATGTGCTTTGATACTAAAATTTCAAAAACTGGAGTTAATCATTTCCAACAACAAAGAAAATGACTAATCAGAGAGTAAAAATGTTACCTAGAACTCTGAATTACTCGCGTAACGAAAGTAATTAAACGAAGGGTAATTTGACAAAAAAAGATATCCAAGAATTCCATGAAAATCAATCTAAGATTATCGAGAAGGCCGTCAAAGACAATAAACACCGTGGAATTCAATCCAGATCCGC